GGACTAGCTTAGCCTTCTTAATGGCCCATTAACAAAGTGGGGATGGGCAGGAAGCTACAGGCAGTTATTCTGTCTTTTAAAACAGGTTTCTTTCTTTTCTCCTCCAGAGAAATATTCTGCCTTTTCAATATTTCCTAGGATATTTCATTTTTCTGGGAGAGGGCTGGGTGATAACTTCCTACATTAGTACTCTTGATTCCTCTCTTTTATAGTTTTCTTACATATGATGTACACAGAAGAATATGATTTTGTCATATGAGATGCAATGATAATAAAGTAAACTTTAAAACAATAGGATTCCACTGTTTTACAACTCCTGTTTCCCACTGCCAAAAAAAGCCAAAATCTACTTTACATAGATAGAATAGAATTCTTTATTGGCCAAGTGTGATTGGACACACAAGGAATTTGTCTTTAGTGCATGTGCAGGATTTATTTAAATCAGGAAAAAAAGCTTTATTGAGATCATTAAGGTACGTTCAGCCCCTGCCATCGAGGAATATCAAGCGACTGTCGTTAAACAAGACGCGCAACGTAAAACTGCTTTGTGCAAATCGCCGCTTTGGCAAATTCGCAGAGCTGGTTTGAATCGCGCGCACGCGCACACGGAACCGAACGCGTCGGCGCTTCTCCTCCTTCTCTCCCCCCCTCCCTTTCTTCCTTGGGGACAGCCGCGCCTCCTCTCGGGCTGCGCGCGCGCCACCGGTGGGCGGGGTGTGGGTGGGAAATGGCTGACCGAGGAGGCCCCGCCTCCTGCCCCGCCTCCTTCAGAGAGCTGCCCCAAGATGGCGGCTGACAGCACCGACGAGGAGGGTGAAGACCTGGTGAGCGTCGGGACCCCGTTGGAGCTGCTGGAGGAAGGTAAAATCCGCCTATTCCGTCTCCTTTGGCGGGGGAGAGGTGAAGAAAAGGGTGGTCTCCCTCCCGAGTCTTTTTTTCGTTAGTTTGGAAACGAACAGTTCGGCGGTTCGAATCCCTAGTACAGGTCTCCTGCGTGAGCAGGGGGTTGGACTAGATGACCTCCAAGATCCCTTCCAACTCTGTTACTATAACTATATGTCACTATATGTTTCCCCCTCCCCTAACCCCGTGCCCTCCGCGGAGTCCTTGGTGTTCTCTTAGCTTGGTGGTTTGCTTGTTACAGATGTTGTTACCCAAGTAGGTCATAATAATCAATGCTGATGGTGATTTGCACGCTGATGATGATACCTATTGGGTCTGTGGGGTCCTTGGTGGTGCTTTCTGAGCTTGGTTGGTTTTTTGTTTTTGTTTTGCAGACGTCTCATTACCTGACTAGGTAACCTCATCAGTGCAGAAAGAAAGGAGGAGGAGAACGGTGGGGTTCTTGGTGTGCTCTTAGTGGTGGGGTTTTTTTTTGCAGATGTTTCATTATCTGACTAGGTAACAACATCAGTGCTGGAAGAAAGGAGGGTTTGCAGGGAGGAGGAAGACTGGGGAGTCCTTGGTGCGCTCTTAGGGTGTTTTTTTTTTTGCAGACGTTTCATTACCTGACTAGGTAACATCATCAGTGTTGGAAGAAAGGAAGGTTTGCAGAGAGGAGGAGGAGGAGGACTGTGGGGTCTTTGGTTGGGTTGTTCTTTTTTTGCAGAGTTTCATTGACTTCAAACAACTATTGCCACTTTAAATGTATACTAATCGGCATACATTAAAATGAAACTTTGTGGCTTTCAAAGGGTCACCACCTCCAGCATTCATTACATAAACATGACAGAAATATAAATAATAAACAAACAAATAAATAAATAAATAAATAAATAATAAATATGCCATAGGTAACATCACCAGTGGTAGAAGAAAGGGGACATTACAGGGAGGGGGAGGAGGACTGGGGTGCTCTTTGAGTGTAGGTTATTTTTCCCCCCAGACATTTCATTACCTGATTAGGTAACATCATCAGTACTAAAGGAATGGGGTTTGCTTCACCTTTCTATGCAGTAACTGGCCCTGCTAGTGTTGGTGGAGTGTGGCCTTTTGATCGTTCCTTGATTAGGGAATTACTTCCTGCTTGATAGTTATCTCTCATATTGGCACCTGTAGTCCCTCCTTTGGGGACTACAGCCCCTAACTTCTGCAGTGGCAGGGCTTCGGGCAGTCTCCCTCTTCCCAGCTGCCTGGGCCCAGGAGTTGCAATGTGGGGGAGTTGGATGACTGGGAAAGTCTATTGCAGGGGATGCTCAAGATTGTCCTGGAAGCCCTTTGCCGACTGGGGAGGAAGGAGGCTGGCAGAGGGGGGGAAATGGGGCATCAGGAGGATGGATGGGGGGCTGCTTTGCTGCATCTTAGAAACTAGGTGAGTTCTAGTTTCATCTTAAACATGAAAGCTGGTCTAGCATTTCATCTGTGCATCTATCTATCTATCTATCATCTATCTATCCTTCCTTCCTTCCTTCCTTTCTTCCTTCCTTCCTTCTTTCCTCCCTCCCTCCCTCCCTTTCTTCCTTCCTTCCTTCCTTTCTTCCTTCCTTCCTTCTTTCCTCCCTCCCTCCCTCCCTTTCTTCCTTCCTTCCTTCCTTCCTTCCTCCCTTCTTCCCTCCCTCCCTCCCTCCCTCCCTCCCTCCCTCCCAGGTGAACGCATTAAGAAGCCAGTTCCTCTCCAAGACCAGACGGTCAAAGATGAGAAAGGACGGTATAAACGATTCCATGGCGCGTTCAGTGGTGGTTTTTCAGCTGGCTACTTTAACACTGTCGGATCCAAAGAAGGTTAGTAATGATCTATGTCAGAAACTTCAGAAATTTTGTTCCTCTTGGCATAAGGCTGGGCTGAGTTGGGTTATTTAAAAAAAAAAAACAACAACCTATCCAAGTGGCAAAATCTTGGACAGTTGTACACACTGTGTGAAGTTACTAAAGGATTGTGAAAGTGCTAGATCACGGGAATACATCTTATTCATGTGATTTAATAATAATTAAACTCTGTAGAGCAGACTGTCAAACAGAGACTACTATAGATAAAGGCAGACATAGTGCTGATTCATAATGCAGTACTTCCATTTTGAACTTTGCATGCTTTGTGAGCCTGGGCGAACTTTGAAAGCCAGTCATTGTGGCTTGACAGTGCTGTTTATTTGGGATCTCTGCCGACTGGCATGTTCAGAAAAAAATGATGAAAACAAGTTAAAGTCTTAGTGCAATGCTTGAGCCTAGCAAAAGGGATGAGAGGATCAAATGAACACAGTAAAACAATCACAGTGGATTGTACTAAGCTAGGAAAGCTCAATCATATGCAAAAATCGCAGTATAATTTCCAACACAATACTACACACATGTCGAGGTTCATTTTTATTTATTTATATGCCGCCCTATTCCCAACGGGACTCAGGGCGGCGCACAAACCCAAGGAGGGGAAGGGAAACACAAAACTACAACAAAAAAATACAAGGGAATTTAAAACAACCAACAGCCACACGATTCGAGAGGGGAAGGGAACTCATCGACCCCAGGCCTGCCGACACAGCCGGGTTTTAACAGCTTTTCGGAAGGCCTGGAGAGAGGTGAGGAGCCGCCCCAGAGAAGGCCCTCCCCTGGGTAGTGGCCAGATGACATTGGCTAGTAGACGGAACCCGGAGGAGGCCTAATCTGTGTGATCTAATGGGTCTTTGGGAGGTAATTGGCAGCAGGCGGTCTCAAGACATACCGTAGTAAGCCGGTTATTCAGTTATAGCAAGTCAGTGAAAGAAATTTGGAGAGAGCGAGTATAGCAATTGCATTTTTAATTGGAAATTTCTCAATTCTGCTATAAACTCACGTCTTATAACAATGCTTTGTTTTTGAAGGATGGGCACCTTCGGCGTTTGTGTCATCTCGCCAAAACAGAGCAGAAAAGAAAGTTCTCGGGCCAGAAGATTTTATGGATGAAGAAGTAAGATGATGGAGATTATTGCATTTATATAATTCTAGGCCTCTATTTATATACCTGTGGTATCTCTGCGGTACATAGATATGTAAATATTGTTATATATATAGTTGTACATCATCCAAAGTCACGTCCATGAGATGGGTGGCCATGTAAACGATAAATATAAGCCTGGTGTTTTGTACATACCGGTAATCTTTTACTGCTTGGTTAACAGACATGATTAAATAGCTTTGTTTAGATAAAGAACAACGATTTTTGTACAAAGTGCATCTCTTGCTGTTTTGTTTCAAAGTTACTGTTTGAATTTATGGACTTGGAAAGAAAATATTCTGATTCTTCCCCCCCCCCCCCAAAAAAAAATATCTTATTTTCCCTGGAAGGATCTTGGTGAACATGGCATTGCACCAAAGGAAATTACAATTACGGATACATTTACGTCCCAAAATAAAGACAAAATCCAGGAGAAGGCCAGACAGCTAGCTGGAATAGTTGCACCCATCTCTGGAGCTACAGTATTGGATGAGTTCATCACACCTGCAAAGTAAGTATTGAAAAATAATCTACTACTTGCAGATAATTGCATATATTATATTTTTGATTTCTGGAACACCTGAAAGACTGTTTGAATCATTTTTGCCAGAAGTAAACAGGCAGGATTTTTTTTTCTTCCTCCATAAACAAGTGTTCCTGATGTTAAATCACAACTGTTGTAGAATTCATTTATTTTTATTTATATAACTGCCACCTCACTTTTACCTTACTGTAGGTGGATTTAGACAACCAAATCAAATGCGTAAAATGTATAATGTAAAAAACACAAGTGAAACACAGAGGAGCTGGGCATAGTTATTTCAGCATTTCTGAACCTTGGTAATGTTAATAGCAATAGTACTTAGACTTATCTACCACTTTACAGTGCTTTTACAACCCTCTCTAAGCAGTTTACAGAGTCAGCCTCTTGCCCCCAACAATTTGGGTCCTCATTTTACCCACCTGGGAAGGACGGAAGGCTGAGTCAACCTTGAGCCTGGTGAGATTCCAACTGCCAAATTGCAGACATCTGGCAGTCGTCATGAATGTTTAATAATCATAATAATTGTTTATATATATATTGGATTGATGACATGAGAATTTGTGTAGTTTGCAAATGGGGACTATTGTGAGGATGCACAAAGCTTTCTAACCAATCGACATACTATATATAACTGGAGGATGATTTTTGTGTATTGTGTGTGTCTTTGTTTGTTTTATGTTTTTGTGTGTGTGTATGTATGTATGTATATGTATGTATGTATATGTATATGTGTGTATATACACACACACACACACACACACACACACACACACACATACATACATACATACATATGTTATATTTGTGCTGATAAATAAATAAAGGGAGACTAGTATAGATCTATTTCAAGCTATTTAGCTCTCATCAGCTAGCCATACCCTTGCTGGGAATAGAACCTGTGCTCTATTGCCTCTTAGGCAGATGTGTTAACCATTGAGCTACAGAGCTCAACTCCTTATCAGCCAGGCCAGGGTGAAGGGTATATATTTAAAGTCACATATATATTTAGTGTCACAACCCCTGGTATGCCCCAATTATGGGAGGAAGCTAACTGCTTCCATTCCCTGTCCATCGGCTCGTCACAAGGGACCATCCAGACAGAAAGCCCAATATTTTTATTGTTGCCTTTTGTTACATTTGTGTTGTATTTGTGCTGATAAATAAATAAAGGGAGACTAGTATAGATCTATTTCAAGCTATTTAGCTCTCATCAGCTAGCGAATCCCAGTAAGGGTATGGCTAGCTGATGAGAGCTAAATAGCTTGAAATAGATCTATACTAGTCTCCCTTTATTTATTTATCATCGCAAATACAACATATATATATGAAGTAGCCTGCAGTACTGCATTCTAAACATTGTGCCACCATGGCTCTTTGCATTAAGATGCGGGGACATCAACTTCTAGAATTCCCCAGCCAGCACACTGATCTTAACCAATCATCTCCATAACCAGAAGATTGGCTCTATCCAATGCCCAGACTCAGGCACAATGCTAAATTTTCAAGGCCTTACAAAAGGCCGAGAGAGCCCAGACCATTCGAATCTCAGAAGGATGAGTCTGTGTTTAGTTTCTGTTTCTACAGTTGTTTGAATGCATTGCTTATATAAGGATTCTAGTTGGATTCTACTTTTGTTCATATTTATGACAATTGCAGTGTTTTGGGATCGGATGATCGCCTTTTACGACTATTTGACAAGCAAAGTCAATGGGGAAGCCAGATTCACTTAGCAACTGAGTTATTGTTAGTTGTGAAGTTGTGTCCGCCCCTTCGCAGCCCCATGGACAACATTTCTCCAGGCCTTCCTGTCCTCTACCATCCTCTGGAGTCCATTTAAGCTCACGCCGACTGTTTCAATGACTCAATCCAGCCACCTCATTCTCTGTCGTCCCCTTCTTCTTTTGCCCTCAATCAAGAATTAGGCTCTTCTCCATTGAGTCCTTCCTTCTCATTAGGTGGCCAAAGTATTGGAGTTTCATTTTCAGGCTCTGGCCTTCTAAAGAGCAGTCAGGGTTGATCTCCTCTAGGACTGACCAGTTTGATCGCCTTGCAGTCCAAGAGACTCGCAGGAGTCTTCTCCAGCACCAGAGTTCAAAGCCCTCCATTCTTTGGCGTTCAGCCTTTCTTATAACAACCAGGTTACTAACTTAACAACTTCAATAATTCACTTAACAACTGGGACAAGAGAGATCACTTAACAAATGTCTCACTTAGCAACATCAATTATGGGCTCTGTTGTGGTAAGTCAAGGACTACCTCTAGCTACAACTTGTTTATCCATTTCTTTTCCCCCCCCAGAATAACAATTGGGATTGACTTGTTGCGAAAAATGGGCTGGAAAGAAGGACAAGGCATTGGGCCGCGAGTAAAGAGGAAGCCACGCACGCAAAAACCTGGTACATTCCCCCTGAATCTATTGTTTTGCAACAAGATCAGAATAAAATGAATTATCTAGTTCAGGTAATTATGTCCCTGCTTAACCAGGCCTTTGCTCCTCCCTTTGAAGTACAAACAGGCAAAGCAAGAATTACCCAATCGTGATCTTTCCCATTTTGTCCAAATTAGGAAAGCGTTTCTTATTTTGACACAAGTCAGAATGTCGAACCATCGTTTGTAATTATACAATATTCTGACTTGTTTCAAAACAGATAAGTATTGTTTTTTGATTTGGGCGAAATATGAAATCAGGGTTCCTAAAAGCTTTCCTAATTTGTTTGCTTGTGCTATAAGGGGAGAAGCACATTATTGGAAAGGCTGCCTAAATATATCAGTTTTGATCCATCTATTTTTTTTTCTTAATATAACTGGTTAGTAGTCTGTGACTGTATAATTTGTATACTGGAGTATATGGGACGCGGTGGCTTAGTGGCTCAGATGCTGAGCTTGTCGATCAGAAAGGTCGGCAGTTTGGCGGTTTGAATACCCTAGCGCTGCATAATGGAGTGAGCTCCCATTACTTGTCCCAGCTTCTGGCAACCCCTAGCAGTTTGAAAGCATGTAAAAATGCAAGTGGAAAAATAGGAACCACCTTTGGTAGGAAGGTAACAGCGTTCTGTGTGCCTGCGGCATTTAGTCATGCTTGCCACTTGACCACAGAGATGTCTTCGGATAGCGGTCTTCAGCTTTGAAACAGAGATGAGCACCGCCCCCTAGAGTCAGGAACGACTAGCACATATGTGCAAGGGGAACCTTTACCTTATACTGGAGTAATTTAAGTCACTTTGAATTTAGTGGTACCGTAGCAGCATTAACCTGTTTATTACTTCAATAAAAGTAATGAAAAAATACAACATTTTAATCATGATTGTCACTGTTTGATTATAGAGCCCGGAGTAAAAATATATGGCTGCGCTTTGCCTCCAGGATCTGAAGATTCAGAGGTAATTGTAGAGCATTTGTTGGAAATTTTAACTTTTTTTTTTTTAACAGAAATTGGAACTATTCAATAAATACCATTTTTCCTGGCTACAATAATGAGTATTACAATGATTCTTTTAACATCGTAATGCTTTGCAATTTTCAATAAATGAAGAAACATTAGCCCTTTTCTGCAAAGGCATCTGTCACATCATGAAAACTTTTAATATAAACAGTTCTGTGCCCTGGATAGTTTTCATGTGAATTATTCACATGCAGACAGGGACTCCATAAATAAAGTGGCAAGGAGTAAAAAAAGAGAAGGTTTTGTTTACTAATTGCTGCCAATAGTGACAATCGGAAATATGACAAGAGAGAAGGTCTGTGAATTTGAATTTGAATTTACTTTATTTGTATGCCGCCCTTTTCCCTGAAAGGGACTCAGGGCGGCTCACAATTCAAGAGAGGGGAAAACAACAAAATTACAAAATATAAAGACATACACAGTTAAGAAACACAACAATCATACCATTCGGAGTGGGGCTGCAAGTCTTTAGTCCCAGGCCTGTCGGAACAGCCAGGTTTTAA